TCTACGACAAAAGCAAACAGAAGTAGTGCATTTGTTAAAGTATGCTGCAAAACGATAAAATTCTCTTTAAACAAACTTTTTATGCTGTGAGAGCTTTTTCTATATTACTCATATCCAACTGTAACCACTGTTTCTTTAATCTTCATCGATACTCACACTCACACTCACCCTCACCCGCACCCGCACCCAGACCGGCGTCTGTGAACTTCAGCTATCGTTGCGCCCAAATGTCGGTATTCCATCCAGCATCTAATTCGTTGGGGTATAGATGTCTGAAAAAATTTTTAATATGCTCCTATGGAATCTCATGGAAATCATCAGAACTCATAGGACAAGATGGGATGAAGGTTTTCTTTTGCTGAAGGAAATTTTCGCCTCATCTTGTTCCACGACCACCCCTGTATTAGACTAGAAGAGTAAACAGCGAAAAAGCATGGATGATAATGAAATTAAACGAATTAGGTTTTTTTCTATATCTGATTACTGAAACTGGAATTTTATTTTAGAACGAGAACAGAACACGACATTTTTGATTAATAAAACACAGTTTTATGTCGAGCGAACAGTAGAATCCAGTTTTCTTCAGAAATATGTTACTGGTATGGATTTGGATAGTTCGTACGAATTAAAACGTATGTGGCATATTTCATATAAAATAGGAATATAACAGTTAATCAATACACTTACTATTTTTTCAGAACCTGAATATGCAATGAACGATGGTGATTCCCAACCTATTCTTGCTATATCGGGGAAAGCTGGTGATGGAAAGACAATGTTACTTAGCAAATTTATTTTATATCTCGAAGTAACAGCAGTTATGGTGTATATTTCTTGTTCTATAATATGACAATATTTATACTATAGGAGCAACAAAATCAGAAAAGTATATTTTTATACTATTATCTTTTTGATAACGCTTCACACTCGTATCCTAGTCAAATTATTTTGGATGGCTTAAGAAAAAAACTAGAAAAATTTATCGGTTAGTATAGAAAATAAAGGATGTGACTTCTTTTAATTACCCAATTGTAATCATTACTCTGAAGATTATTAATTTCTCAATGAATATACAATATACAAAAGTATGTACAATGTGAAGAAGTCCATGTATTTGATTTACAAGTATAAAGCTGAACTAACTTTCTTTGAACGTTTCTTTATCTTTTCGTTTCTCTAAAGATTGAACAGATGTCTTATCAGTTAAATAAAATAGCTCATTCAATCGCCAACTTAGTTAGATATTTATCATTCTCATCAGTGACTTATGCTGAATAATTTTTTGATATGGCAGCAATTCTGTTTGTAGTAATATCATTACAGTCAAGTACATGTCTAGTTAGTATGAAACAATATTCGAATAAACATTCGGTTGAATTGGCAATTTGTATCAAGTTAGTTGTAAATTCAATCATTAGAGAAACAGAAAGATAAAGAAACGTTCAAAAAAAGTTAGCTCAGGTTTACATTTGTAAACACATAGTTTAAACATTGTACCAACCATGTTCTTGTCTTACGGATAAAAAATAATAATTATTTTTCCCGTGAATGAGTGATCTTAAATTTGTTTTTGTTTTTTTTCTCTACTATAGCTTTCACACTCCTGAAATAACAAATTTTCAAACTATTTTCGTTCCCTAGATGCGTGACATCGTCACGCGCTATCAATCGATCAAAAGTTGAAATTTTCATCTGCATTGAATACGTTCTTAACATCTCATCTTTGTGCAGAAATTATGATAAATAAAGGTTAATTTTGCTTGATATGAATGCATGACTAGTTTATCTAAAGTATCTAAGTGAATTTGCGTAAAACAATGGTGGTGCATTCACTTAGCTCGTTTTCTGTCATGATACGTATCTGCACCTAGAACTGTGTGACCACTAAACTTATTCCTTATCAAAAATATGTAAAAGATTGGTCAGTCTCGGGCACATCTTTTGATTTAAAAAGAAAAATTTCAATACTTTTCTTTATACGAGAAGACAAATTAATTTTCAAAAACTTGATTTTCACACAAATTGTATGACACATGTTCGTTTAGTTTGAATTAGCAATATCTCTATGATAGATGAAACAAATTTATACTTATCATATATCATTCGATTCATCTTTTTAAGGCAAATCTTTTATGCATCGATGCCCAGATTAAATTTTGTTTATAGAATCTCAGAGACCAATACTCATAATAGACCTTCAGATAACAAAAGACTACCGTAAAATAATGGACCGAAGTGGCTCTCATCTGATCATCCTTGCCCATTCTGTCGATTACTATATAAAGACTATTTTTTCAAGGCCATTTGATGTTTTTCTGCTGACATAGACGCGAAGAATTTTCTAGATTTCTTATGGAAAAGTGCGTTTTTCGGAAAAAAACAACAACTGTCCGAAAATTATTTTTTTGTCAACACTGATACTAATAAAATTCATCGAGATCATCAGAAAAAGTTCGGATGAAATTTTATTTTCCAAAAGTTTCCGTACAAACGACACAACGGTTATACGTTTTACCCACATGTACTTCTTCATATTGTACATACTCTTGTATATTGATTGTATGTTCATTGAGAAATGACTAATCTTCAAAGTGATGATTACAATTGAGTAATCAAATTATATTTTTCCAAAAATAAATATTTATTTATTAAATATTAATTAAATCTCTTTTTATTGTTAAGATGACAATAATTTGCTGACATCAACGGGCGAACGTCTAGCGCACGATGATAATTTTTTAACCAATGCACTTAAAATTATTCCAGGTACAATAGTTATTATTATTGACGGACTTGATAAGGTATGTTCATTAATAGAAAACAATTATATTTCTGAAGGCAGTTGTTGAGAATGGTGTTCATCAATATTTAATATATCGGACATAATTTTTTATTTATATAATGTATACTGTTCTGACTACACTAATCTCTATTATATTTAGGGTGATATTCATCAAAATCGAAATTATCAACAAGAATTTCCCTTGAATTCATTAAATAAATTAATTTTTCAAAATTTATCAATAATAATTAGTTGTGAGAACGACAAACTTCTTCATAAAACCATAAAAAATACAACAAAACACTATGAACTTGAATTATTACCATTCACAATTGAACAACGAAAGTTTTATGTGAATAATTTTTTTAAATGTTATAATAAGGTAAGAAAATAGTTTAGCTTGAATCATCTTCAATCAAACAAGAAGATAATTATTATACTCTTTGCGTTTTTTTAATGATAAATTTTTGTTTTAAATTGTGTACAAATCTACACAAGAAAAACAACAAAAATGCATATTTAAAATGTTTTTCTCTTTTTTTTTTTTTGCTGAACTATAAAAACAGGATAAAAATCGATATGTTATGTTATATAACAAAAAACAAAAGAAATATTTGTTGTACATGTCAAAAATGACAACTACCTTAGAAAATTTAAAACTGTATGTGATAAAACGAGGAAGTAATAGTGATGCTATATGATTATTATTGTTAAATTAAAAACAAAAAATACTGAGAGAAGAAGTAAACGTGTTAAATTCTTGGCTATAAAGAAGAGATAACACACTATATGTTCATTGTGTCCATTGATAATGGCTATTTATTATCTTCTCTAGCCCGACTTGTTTATAGAAAGATTCAAGAACACAAAAGCGTCTTTAATTTGATTGTTTTGTGTGTTCTTGTGTGTTTGACATTAGCAATTACATAGTATGGTTAAAATAGAAAAATAAGTTGTTCTTCTTCTATTTGGATTACCAATTATAAACTTTCTTTACTGTGCTCTATAATAAAGAAACATAATTTAGTTTAAGTGTGACGCTATGTTATATAAGTTCAGAAAACACTAGATTTCTTAAGTTTTTGTTCTAGTCTCTCTGGAATATTTAACCTATCTAAACAAACGTTTCAGTTACAATGGTATGAAATTATTCTACTACAGTGTATGTGGCATACGATAAAAGGTTGTTGTTTTATCAAATTTTTGAATTTTCAGTCACATTCCATAAGTTTTTGTTTAGTACAAAGATGATTAAAGATGATTGTTCGTCTCCTCTTTCATCTGCAGATTTTCTTCCATCATGTTTGAAAAGAATTTCATCCAGTTATCTCACCGCTTTTACTTCAGCAGAAATTTGTACTGATGACTGATTAATATTTACCTGATACTTTCATTTAAATTCGTACCCATACAATACCATCTTCGATGTGAACAGTAAATCCTGTTACTTCATCATGATATTGTTCAGAGGAAGGCAATACTTTTCTATTGTCATCTAATTGATTCATCAAATATCGCTGATTATCGATTTGTGAAGACCATTTTTGTTCTCCTGCTTTCGAATAAGGCACTTCTATAACAGTCGGTGAATCACCATTTGTCGTAGTTGTGTGTTGTGCTCGTGTCGATTGAGAAGAAGAAGATGAAGAATAGTACGGATGTTTTCCGGTTGTAGTACCATCTGATTCTCTTTGTGTTCTTGAGTGTGTCTCTCCATTGATCACAATAGAGTCTGATCTTCCTATTGGTCGACTTTGTTCACGTTGGTCTTTAGTTTTATTTGTCATTGATGATGTTGTTACTGACTTAATATTACTGATTGGCGGTGTTGCTATAGGTACACGATATTTTTCAGCGGTGATTTTCTCCGAGGATTCTTCTCGTTTTATCTTTGATAGCGAAGACGTCATAACTGATGGTTTATGTTGTAGTTCACGTGGCATTTGAGCTTGTTTCTCGGTTATTTGCACACCTGTAGTTAATGCAGGATGAGTTGGTGATAATAAGCCTATTAATAGACAGCGATAAGTATTTATTTCTGCCCATAGACTAACAGTCGTTTCTCTTAAACGTAATATAATACATTCTAATTCTGGCAATTCATTTTGTAATTTATTGTGTTCAAGATCAGAATTTTCATGTAAACGTTTATTTTTCTCAGTTATATCTTGTAAATCTTGTTCTAATTGTTCTGAAATATCAAACAATAGAGATCAATATCATGATAAACTGAGCGAACAACATTTCTTACCTAATTTTGTTTTTAACACATAATTTTGTTCAATTAAATTTTGATGTTCTTTCTTTGTTACATCTAAAACATTTTTAAATTCTTTTGCTTTTGTGGCTGTTAGTGTTGTTAAATCACCCGTGACTACATGATGTTTCAATTGTTCTTCTTTATCATGTTTTTGTCGTTTTTGTAATTCATCTTTGATACCATTAAGTTTTGTTTTATATATATTTTCTAATTCATTTATTCTTATCTTGTTATAATCTTTGTAATCATCCCTATAATAAATATAATGAAACGTTGCGAAGAAGAGTCAATCATATCTACTTGTATTTAATCTTATAAAACTTGTCAAGAAGTAAGAGAAAACATGAGTCAATTTAGTTAATGCATTTTAGAAAAAAAGAATAAACGAAAAGTATAAAATGAAGTGATAAAAAATATCTAAAGAGAAAAAACTATTATTAAACTGAATATACGAAATAAGTTTGATTTTTATGTCTATATCAAAGCAAATAAGATATACATTGTATCATCATTAGTTTAAATATTCAATTTTGTATTTGAATATTTACTTATCATTCGGATAAAAATCTTAGGAAAGTTCAAAGAGACTTCATTACGAAAAGCTTTCATACCTTATCTGTTTAATTATATTTTGAAGTTCATTTTTGTTAAATTCTTGATTAAAATCATATTCAAATTTCTCTAAATATTCATATTCTTGAGATCTACGAGTACGATATTCTTGTTCAAAAGCAATTTGTTCATTAAGATTATACGATTGATTTTCACTTTCCATCCGTTTAAAAGTAATTGTATCATATTCATTAGTAAAATAAACAATTTTCGTAATATATTCATCGTACAATTGTTTCAATCTGATTAGATCATTTTCACGTTTTTCATATTGTGTTTTTAATTGATCAAGTTCATACGTATTTTGTTCTAATTGTTGTTTCATTTGTTTTAATTTATCATTTTGTGTTGAATCATAATTAATTAAAAATTTGATTTCATTTCTATAAAATTCAGTATCATAATTGGCACGTTGTAAACGAATTTGTGTCAGTGTTTGTTGACGAACTTCATCATTAATTTCATCACGTAAACTAAGTAATTGTTGATCTCGAGGATGATAATATTTTTTCTGTTTTTTTCCCTTTTTTTCTTGATCCAATGGATATATTCGTGAAAGATTTTCTTTACTATCGTTTTGACCAATATCGTAGCTATTGTCTTCTCCTTCTCTTTCTTCATCGAAATCTGCATCATAAATCGCACGACCCATATAGCGTCTATAAGCTTCATTAATTTGTCGTCGTAAATTAGAATTTATGTCAGCCAAATGTTTTATTTTATTTAAATAATCTTCAAAACGATTATTCAACATTTTTAATTCATGTTTTTCACCATTTTGACGTGTTGTATGCTCATCGATAAACATTGTACTCGTTCGTTGGTTTACCGAATTTGTTGACAGAGAAACTGGATCATATTTCTCATTTTCTCGTCTTGAGGAATGCCTACGAGTAATGCCTCCACCACTACTACTCTTTGTTAAATTTGGGACAGATAGAGATTGTTGTTGTGGTGAAAAATGATCTTCTTCATGTTGATACTGATTTTTTACTTCATGTGTGAAGTAATCGGCAGGCTTTGTTCGACTCGTGGGAGAAGAAGATGTCATTGTTGAGGTATGATAAGTTGTTGTTTTTGTCGTATCTTTTATTTCTTTTCCATGAGATAACGATTGAGCATATGGCAAAGAAGTGCTTGAATGTTCTTTGTGTGTTAATATACCAGATTTGCTACTTTGTGCGTGCATCGTAGAAGTAGATGATGGAACTGAAACATAACCACTCGTTCTTCTGGATTGTTGTTCATTTATGCGCGGAAAATCATTGAAATCTTCATCTGTTGGTGAAAAACTTCCGGTTGTTGTTTGTATATCTTCACGTCCTTGTCGACGATTAGCTTTCATTCCATGATCAAGAATTGGTCTATTGTATGGTTCTCCCATCGATATATAAACTCTTGATTTTGATGAAAGATTTGGATCAATGGGGATCGTAGTTGGTGTTGGTACTCTGGACGAGGTGGATGATGATGTGGGTCCTGGCATTTGAGATGTACTTATTGTAGTAGTTGGATACGTTTGAATTATTGTGGATGCTGAAATATACCTGAAAGAATTAGTGACAACAAAATCCATTATTTTGAGTGTTCAGAAAAACTTCAAATGATACCTGAGTGCGGTAAAGTTGTTAATATTTGAGTTTGTTCTTCCCAAACAGTTGGAAAACGATGTATACGAGAATATCTCTGATCTTGAAGATTATGATCCATAATTTTCTTGTACTAAAATTTTTTTCTACTAATCTAAGGGAAAAGAACGAGAAAGTTACTGATTGTTAAATATTATCGCCACCACTTAGATATATCTTATTGTAAGAAAAAATGTTATGTTCAATATTAGCAGTGAATCAACATTTTTTCTTTGTTATAATATTTGACAAACAAATATCGCCTATTATATAAAAACTTAAAAAAACACCCGAAGCAACATAATGTTGATATGCATTTAAGAGAAGGAGATAAATATCACCACCACAACAACACTAACTACAAAGAATGATATTTAATCGTGCTTAAAAAATTTGACAAAAAAAAGTCAGTTTTTCTCGCTCTTAAAGAGAAACATATTTAATGAGCCGTATTCTAAGCCCAAAACATTTTGTTATGCATAAAAAGCTGCAAACAAAATGCATATAAAAATAAAACATTAAGAATAAACAATTGCTAATTATTCAGGCTACTGAATATCATAGAGAGATAGATGATGCGGTTTTTCATATCGCATATAGAAGAGAAAACAGAAAAAACATGTTACGGATTTTTTATTGCATATTATTGCTTTTGTGGGTTCATCCACACGATATACCCACATATAATTTGTCATTGAGAGAAGAAAGAAGAAAAAATGTCTCATCTTGTTCACACGTCAATTTTGAGTAGCCCGATACCTTTCTGAAGTCGAATATCTTTAAATGTGGATCATTCTTCTTTTTACTAGTTATCCATCTGTAGTTCTGACTAGAAATCTAGTTTGGCGCAGAGTTCTTTCACCCAATTACTTTAGCTTTCCATTTACACTTGCTACTGTTGTAAGAGTACAAGTTTTCTGGAGTGATGGATGAGCTATATTGTACGCCACAATGGAATAATCATGATCCAAAACACATGAACCTAAGTAACTTACCTAAAGTCATTGTATAGTTTGGCCAGCGCTTAGATTTTACTGCTAAATCTTTAAAGTACGTAACGAACAATATAACCACTAATACAACCTGTCATTGAAAGCTTTTGTAAATAGGAATAATTAACTGAACTGTCAAATCTTCTTTTCTTTCTCAATAAAAACACGGTTAATTAAAGACAGTAAAATGCCAATCCAGAACAGATATAATTGACTTTTATTGAAAACGAAGTTACCACAAATCTTTGGTATCTTGTTTGTAGACGATGTTATTGACTTCGACACTTTTCGCAAATAAAATTAAATACAAACGGGTAACATTTTACAGCACAAATAACGAATATGGTTTCATTTTGAAGAAAAAAAAAAAGAAGTTTGAAAATATTGTGATTATAATTTAGCTGATAAAAACAAATTATTAGTATATGTTTCTCTTTCCGATGAGAGTCTTTCTTCTTACTGTCCAAAAACACGTTTATTCTGAAACATGTCTACTAATCCTGTTAAACAAATAGTTATTCTCTGTTTCTCTCTCTCTTTCTCTCTCTCATATTTTTTTAATAATCTCTTCTATAAATTAGATAGTCAAATTCAAAGACACAACATAAAAATCTATGTAAGAAAGAAGAACGACGATAAAAAAAACAACGTACAGTTCATAATGCCGTTTATACATATCCTCTGTATTTTTCTTGTCTCACAGGTTTATTTTACCGTCTATACATCACCATTGTAGCGAAACAGCATAACGGTTAAATAAAAACGTATATGCGCTAGATGAATACACAAATAAAAAAAAATTGTCAGCAATTTATTTACATTAAGAGCTAGAAGTACCCACTGTCAAATTTCCAATTGCTCTCAAAATTTCCTTTAATAGTCTACGATCTTTCAGTTCGTCTTCATGATAAACTGTTAATTACACAAATATTCATATTTTCTCACATTACGAGTTTACCTATCGCTAGTTATATTGTTCGAGTGGATGAAAGAGACTGATTAGTTGTTCATAATAGAAATATCTTTTCATACGGTCATTTCACGATTCAGTTAGACATTTGGAGAAAAAGATACTTCGAATGTCCAAGTCGTGTTTTAATTAATCTATAATTAGTGCTAGGATACTTTTATAAAACTTTGCCGATTCTACTCTATGAGATAATACACAGTATAGTTATCTAAGATGATTAATCTTGAATATCAACTGTCTGAAAGTGAATTACTTGATTGATGGAACCTGCGTTAAGATATCTTCACATTCGTTACTCTAAACTTCACAAAGTATACAAATACTGTCTTTATATTTTTGTTTTCTTCGTGTTCTAACTGCCATTTTACTCAGTTGATTTTCGAATCTTTGCCAAATACAGTTGACACATAGTTTTTTTCTCATGTGATGATGATGATGATGAACTAATAAGTGACAAAGAAGCATAAATAGACAAGTTATTTTATTATAAAATTTTATTGTCATTAAACTCTACAGTATAATATATTTCTTCTATACATTTTTAACATTCTTTTTAATTTGATGTGTGTTTTTTTGTTCTTTTCTTCTTCTGTCTTTATTCTGTTAAATAATAATTAATCGTACGAATTTGAAGTATTATACATAAAAAGTATTTATATAATCTTTGCTTCACTCTATTTTTCTTCTTTATTGATAAACATTTTTATTGTTCATCAATCGTCATCGACATACCAAATTAAATATTACTGAACTATTTTCAATGTAAGATTCAGACTCGTCTGTAACATAAACTTTTAGAATAAAGGCAAGAATATGATCAATTTCAAGAAAAAAAAAAAAGAAAATAGAATCTATTTTAAGCTTGTTAATTCTATCTTTAGTCAAGTTCGATGATGAGAAAGATAAAAATAAAAGTGTTAATAATCGACTTACACATCGACTTACATACATTCTGGATTATTTAAATAATTAAATAATTTATTCTTTGTGTGATAGAAGAAGAAAAAAAATCATCAACTTCCTTTTTCTCACCGCTTTTTTTTTTCAATATAAAATTGTTGTATCAAATGATGTTGACAAGAAAAATTTCACTTTTTAGGAAGAAGGGAACACTTTTTGTCCATTCATTGTATGTATATGTATGAATGTATGTATATTTAAGAAAGAAAGAAGAGAAAAAGCGAAAAGTAGTCATATTGCGCTTTGTTCATCAAAGTGAATATCAGGCTATACTCTATATATTAAGCAACTAACCTGAAGGTTAACTCAACTATCTATACTTAAACATCACTTAGGACATGTGAATACTACTTGTTATCTTTAGCTTTAGAAATTATTGCTCATGATAGTTTAAGTGTTTTCTTTTTGATACGTTGATAGCTCAGTTAACAAAATATATATATTTCGAATATGTCTGTTTTTTTATTTTTTTCATTTTTTAAGTCGACATCTTGAAAAAAAAAAAGACATAAAAGTTGTTTTTTGTAGTAGTAGCAAACTATTTATTCTTTCCATCTTGTTCGTCTTTTATTAAACTGTACGTTTAAATCAACATAATTTTCAATCGTAGTTTTTTTATAAAATGAAGAAAAAACGGCAATCAAAAACAAACGTATCGTTCGTGGTTGAAAAGAAAAATTCTCTCTTATTTCATAATCAGAGATTATATGGAGAAAAATTGCATTAAAAAATCAAATTTTTTTTTGTGATAAATTTTTACGTTTACACTACGAGAATGTTGTTATTCAAATGTTATAAATCTATATTTTTAAACTTATACGTGCTTCTGAATGGTATTTAAATTGTTCGCTAAACTACGAAAACGAATGACATGAGAAACGAAATCAAAGGCAGATGAGTTTTGATCATCAAGAACGAACATATTTTTACATTGAATTTTCTTTAACTAATTTTGTCAAACTAATTTTTTTACAACACAATAGAACATTGGTGTGACGCATTTAATATTTTTATATTAGGAGAGAGAAGTGAATGAGATACTCTTGTCTTCTGTTTTTTCTATTATAGATTCAAACTAGAGAAAACTACCATTGATATATCAATATCTCTTATTGCTAAGTGCGATTTTTCTGCCATTTTTTAAATAGTTAACTATTCAAAAATCTGTCTGCAGAAAAGTAGATGTATTTATCGGTTTTTTGTTTCTTACACTTTGAGAAATGATGATTTGCCTAATCAATACTAAAATGTTAATATTGTTTGATTTCATATATAACATACAAAGATACACACAAATAAATTAAATAATACAAGAATCGTATGTCTACCACTTAGGAGACAATAAATGATGAAGAATAGATTGTTTTTTTTTCTTTTATATAATATTTATGTTTTCTGTATCTATTTACAATATTTACTGCCAATATAGCAAAGAAAAAATTTTTTAGATTTTTTTTTCTTTTTTTTTCAATATTTCTATACATTCAAATTTACATTTTATAGGTGAAATATGTGTATCGTTAATATTTTTTCTCTTCTCATAAGAATGCTTTATTATTATTCTTATAACTTTTAAAATAGATTAAAATATAGATAAATAAATCCATATAAAGATTATACTGAGATCGTTGTTTCATCAATTAATCAACAACACTCATATGATTGATTTTTTTTTTTCTTTCTTCTTCTGTCTTATGAATAACAATAGCATATCAAGAAGAAGAAGAAAAAAAAACGAATATGAACGCGTTTCATCTTACCATTGTGTTAGAATTCATTTTAAAGTGATTATTAAAATATCGAATGTTATTCGAAGAAGAAGAATAAAAAGAACACAACAACGAAAAGACAAATCATACATATTGCAATCTTTCCGATAAGAGCATATTTTATTAAAATTTTCTCAGATATTTTAAGAAAAGAAAAGAGGAAAAACAAATGTATAGAATTATATTCTTTTTCTATACTATAAAATTTTTATAGATTTAAAGAAGTAAATAACAATTCGATGCTTAAAAGTAAACTCTTTTATTAAAATTTATGGTCAAGATTTTTTATCAAGATCTTACTAAAAACATTCAAAAAAAATTGTGACAATGTACATTATTTTATCCTCGGACATATTTATAGGTAACTATAGCATAGAGAGTATCAGCATTT